TATAAATGTCCTTTGCCTCCTGGTTCTTTCCTCTATTTCCTTTTACTTTCCTCTTGTCCCACCATCATGTTCAGCCTTCATTCAGGTTTAGTAATTCCTTGCAGCTACATTGCCCTTGATTAAGCCCCACTAGGCATCCTACGCCCTTCTCTTCCATTGATTTTAGTTCACTTGTTGTTCCCTTGTCCCTGGGTTGGTTTCCCTCCCTCTTCCTTTCTCTCACCTCCCCTTCTCTCGTATCCCCCAGAACCATCGGACCCATTCTTTTCGTCTCCGAATTGTTTATCCAGCATATTTTATCCAGATAGACATGCAGAGACATTAATAAGCACAAAAACCAGGCAAAGCCAAACAAAACAACAAAGGAAGTCAAAGCCAACAAAATAACAACAAAAAAACCCCAAAACCAAATAACAACAACAAAAAAAAGAAAGCCACTGAAAAAAATGGAAAAGCCTTTAAATAGTTGAAGGTGTTGTTGGGGCTTTTTTGTTTGTTTTTTGTTTTTAATGTTTTTCATTATATGAAACCTAGAATAGGTAAATTGTAGAGAGACTGTAGCTGGATTAATGGTTTCTTGGGAGTATGGCATGGGAAGTTGGGGTGAAATGGTAAGCTAAGGAGTACAAGAAAATATTATAAAATTGATTGTGGTGATACTTGTACAACTCTTTTTAATACAGGTGAACTTTACAACTGTATGGTATGTGAATTATGCAATGATGAAACTGTTTTCAAAAATAAAATTTAAACACACACACATTCTGAGAAGGATGGGATACTCAGAGAGGCCACCAGAGGTCCTACCTTAACACATAAAGATGCTTACTAGGTCAGCCTGGTGCTAGGGATCCTCATGCTTTCAGACTGAGTCTGATCATTGGCCTGAAGCCCAACAGGTACCTTTATGATACCATCCACTGCAGACTTTCAGTCTGGAAGACACAGGCTCCCTGGCCCAGGAAGGAAACCTCTTCCTCTTCCAACCAATATTACTGAACAACACCCCCTTGCCATGCATTGGAAGCCTTGACTGAACCAGTTTGGTAAGGCAGCCATGACGTGTGTGTGTGTGTGTGTGTGTGTGTGTGTGTGTGTGTGTGTGTGTGTGTGTGTGTGTGTGTGTGTGTGTGTGTCTGTGCTTTTTTTACAGGGAGGTAATTATTGCATAGGCAGCACTGTCTGCCCAGTTAGGGACAGGCTGAAACTGTAGTGTTCATTCATGCCATTGGGTAATTGTGGTGAAGCAACTGGGCATCATGTTTTGAAAGAGGCATTTAAATCAGAAAGAGAAGAAATCACAGAGATGATTCAGATGTCATTCTCTTGGCTTTACAGCAGCTGAGTTCAAGGCACAGAGTGGAGAACACAGTGGCTTCCCAGACAGAGGGAATCAGAGGTGCACGCCAGCTGTGGATGCAGCCCCGGCTTACGGTAAGAATCCCAGCCGACTCTGCGCTCCCTGCCAGCGCATGATCTCCAGAGAGGGAGTACCCTCCCGCTGGCCATGTTCCAAGGCCCATCGAACACCTGAAACAACCAGCTAGCTGATATTCAGGTCTAACTGTGATGATCTCCCCAGGGGTCTCTGTGTGCCGCTCATGTGCTTGCTTGTTTGTTAGGTCACTTCTGCCCACGGGAGGCTTCTTAGGCAAAAGCTCTGGTAGAGCTTGTGAAGTCTTTAACAGAAATCAAAATCATCCAGGGGGACTCTATATGTAGTGTTGCTTCCTGGAAGCCCAGTCACCCAGTGGCCTGGTCTTAGTGCATCTCCACTCCAGCGGGGATCCAGTCCTGGGGGGCAGGAGACTCCATCGGGTCCCTCCATTGTCCCTGTGGTTGGAAAGGAAAATAAGGTGTTGGGATCTCTGAGCTGTGGGACCGGGGACGTGGGTCGTGCTGGAAGAAAACCACCCTCCCACCGGCTGCCCTGTTTGGTAAGCCAAGATTGAACTTGGCATGAATCTTAGGGATCCTTTGATAAAGACCGGGCATGTAGGTTGGATTCCTTGAAATAGTCTCCAAGTCATCCCATATGCCATACCTGTGGATTTAGACTTCTTACATGATCAGGCATTTTGTAAGACCAGAGGTGCCGGAATACCCTTACAGTCCATTCTTGTTGGGTGCTCTTGAGTCGATTTTCAACTCTCGGTGGTTCTGTGTAACAGAGGAGAACTGCCCCTTGGGGTTTCCTGGGCTATAATTGTTCTGGGCCCGGATTGCCAGGTCTTTCTCCCGCTGCACTGCGGGGTGATCCAGCAGGTGAGTGCGAAACCATGGTGCCACCAGGACTTGTTTTCATTTGCTTCACACCAATTGAATTGAATTGTTTGTCCTGTGCCTCCATTTGGAAGGGATATTTTTACTCATTCACAGCCATCGAGTTGGTTCCAAATCACAGTGACCCTATAAGACAGGGTCTAGAACGGCTCCTATGAGTGTCCAAGGCTGTAAATCTTTATGGGAGCAAAAATGTCATCTTTCTCCTACAGAGCAGCCGGTGGGTTTGAACTGCCCACTTCGTGGCTAGAAATCCCAACATATAATCCAGTGCATCATCAGAGCTCCTTATTTTGCTCACGGTTACTTCTTTAACCAATTTTTTTTGTCAGAATCTATCAAAGTTTTGCTTCAAGACAGTGGTTCTCAACCTTCCTAATGCCGTGACCTTTTAATACAGTTCCTCATGTTGTGGTGACCCCCCCAACCATAAAATTATTTTCGTGGCTACTTCATAACTGTAATTTTGCTACTGTTAAGAATCAGGCGACCCCTCTGAAAGGGTCGTTCGACCCCCAAAGGGGTTGCGACTCACAGGTTGAGAACCGCTGCTCCAAGATCTAGTCCATCCCAGAACTTTCCTAAATTGTACTTGAGTTTTCTTATTCCTCATCCTAAGGATGGAGCCCTGGTGGTGTAGGGGTTAATTACACATTGGGATACTAACCACAAGGGCAGCGATTCAAAACCACCAGCCACTTCTTGAGAAAAAGATGAGACTTTCTAGTCCAATACAGAGTTACAGTCTTTGAAACCCTTCCCTGTCCTATAGGGTCACTATGAGTCAGTATTGACTCGATGGCTTTGAGTTTGGTTTTGAGTTCGTCATTGGAATGACTCAGGCCAGCACCATTTAAATGAGGACTTTTATTCCATCTCTAAGATCCATAGGAGCCCTGGTGGCATAGTGGCTTACATGTGGGGCTGATAAAAAGTCAGATCAGCAGGTTGAAACACCAGCCACTCCACGGGAGAACATTGAAGGCTTTTACTCTCGTGAAAATCTATAGTCTTGGAAACACACAGAGACAGTTCTACCTGTCCTGTAGGGTCACTGTGAGTCAGAATCAGCTCGATGGCAGGGAGTTTGGTTAGCTTTTTATAAGATCCCTGGATAGTGCAAATGGTTTGCCCTCAGATACTAACCTTGAGGGTATTGGATCAAACCCTTCCGGTGGATCCCAGGAGAGCTGTTTCTGTTCAGATAAAAATTGAAACCAAACTCACTGCCATTGAGTCAGTGCAGCCCTAAAAATACCTTTTGAGCTGAAGGTGCCCAGCTATCAAAAGATATGGTGTCTGGAGTCTTACAGATAAAAAAGCGACCATCTAACTGAGAAACAACAAAGTCCCCATGGAGGAAGCACACTAGCCTGTGTGATCACGAGGTGTCAATGGGATCAGCTATCAGGCATCAAAGACCCAGAACAAAAAAACCGTATCATTGTGAATGAGGGGGAGCATGGAGTGGAGACCCAAAGCCCATCTGTAAACAACTGGACACCCCTTACAGAAGGGTCGCAGGGAGGAGATGAGCCAGTCAGGGTGCAGTATAGCACCGATGAAACATACAACTTTCCTCTAGTTCGTTAATGCTTCCTCCCCTCACCCACCCCACCCCACTATCATGATTCCAATTCTACCTTTCAAATCGGCTAGAGCAGAGCATGTGCATGGGTACAGATAAGAGCTGGAAACACAGGAAATCCAGGACAGATAAACCCCTCGGGACCAATATTGAGAGTAGCCATACCAGGAGGGCAAGGGGAAGGTGGGGGGAGAAAGGGGGAACTGATCACAAGGATCTACATATAACCCCCTCTCTAGGAGATAGATAACAGGGGAGTGGTTGAAGGGAGACATCGGTCAGTGTAAGACATGAAAAAAATTATATATTATCAAGGGTTCATGAGAGAGGGAAGGTGGGAAGGGAGGGGGAAAACATGAGGAGCTGATACCATGGGCTCAAGGAGGATGAAAATGTTATGAAAGTGATGTCGGCAACAAGAGTACAAATGTGCTTGACATAATGGATGGATGGATGGATAGATGGATGGATGGATGGATGGATGGATGGATGGATGGATGGATGGATGGATGGATTGTGATAAGAGTTGTTCGAGCCCCTGATAAAATCATTTTTTAAAAAGTACCCTTTGGGGCAGTTCTACTCTGTAGCACACGAGTACCTGGGGGTCAGAACAGACCCACTGACCATGGATTTTTCTTTTCTTTTCGGGGGTGGGCAGTGGAGTGTTTATTTTGTTCCTAGACTGTTCTGGGCGCATAATGACTTGTGAGTCCTTGAATCTTGGAAAGAAGTGATCCTCTCCTGAGAAGTAGCAAGATGGGCAACTTGCTGGTGGGGTTTTTAATCATCAGGGATTCTTTCAACAGGGAGCTCATCCTGCCCTTACTTGTCAGCCAAATTACTTCACCTGCCAGGAGTCATCTCCCTGCCAGCAAGGCTGCTTTCTTCCCCTGCCCGTAAATTACTTCCTCGGCGAGTCCCTTCACTGAGAGTTATGTGCAAGCCTTCCCTTCTTACCTCAGCAATACCATCCACTCAGAACATTTCCAAAGGAAAGATCGTTTTTCTATCTGTCCTTGGGGGACCCTGGATCACCATCAAACTATATCACTTCAGAAACTTCCTTTACGCAAGAAGGGAAAACAGATTTTTCTGCTGGAAGGAAATTGAAACTCTAGTCATGCCCAGGAAAACATAAAGGGATTTGCACGTGGGTATATACTTCCATTTACAGGTGTTTGATGAGTTCTTCCACATAAAAGAGGGCATTGTATAGCTCCAATTTCAAATTTCTAGATGAAAATGAAAATTTTATGACTTAGTGAGTCTTTTAACTTAAATAAACAAAATTCATAAGCACTGGATGTAGGAACCAGAAGAACAAGGGTTTTGATGCCTTTGATGTGTTGTGGGATCTTGGGTAGGTTATTTATATTCTCTAAGCCTCAGTATCTGCCTGTCTAAAATGAAAGCTGTTGTGAGTTTTGTACATGGTTATTGTTTTTGATACGTGCCATCAAATCGGTTCCAAATCACAGTGGCCCCACACGCAGCAGGAAGAGGACACCACCCAGGCCGGCGTCATCCTTGGAACAACAGTTCCTGTACTTGAGCCCATGGTTGCAGCCACTGCGTCAATCTATCTTACTGAGGGTCTTCCCCGTTTCTGCGGAACCCTCTCTTTTACCAAGCATAAGGTCATTCTCCAGACACCGGTCCTTCCTGGTAGCATAAGTTACTATCATACCTGATCGGTACGATAGCATCCCCAAAGTGTGTGTAATGAAGTATCGCCTGCCCAGCTTCTAAGGAACATTTGGGATCTACTTCTTTCCAAGATAGATTTATTTCTTCTTCTGGCAGTCCAGGTTATAGTCTATATTCTCGGCTAACATCATCATTCAACGGTGTTCATTCTTTTGCTATCTTCTTTATACATTGACCAGCTGTGACATGCATTTTGTAAATGAAAAGGTGAGGCGGTTTTTATGGCAGTGTACTTCGTCAGCAAGCAATATCCCTGGTGGGGGTTGTTGGGCTTTTGCACTGTGGAAATGGAAAGCTGTATAGATAGAATTTTGGCTTTTCTTTTTTATTTTTCCCCTAACCTTGTTACGTACCTTTCTTAATTAGCCAGAATCTTTGAAGCCAGTTACTATTTTTTTTAAGCCAGCAAATATTTACTGGGGAAACCCTCAGACCGTGATTCTTAAAACCCACTGCCATCAATCAATTCTGACTCATCTTGACTCTACAGGACAGGGTAGAACTCTCTCTTTGGGTTTCCAAGACTTAACTCAGTACAGGAGCAACCAGCCCCCTCTTCCTCTCAATCTGTAGCCCACCAAACTACCAGAGCTCGCTAGGCACCTACCCCCTAATCCTGGAACTGAACCCAGCCCCAGGGATCAGCTTGCAGCCAAATAGACAGGCCTATAAAGCAAGACCTGTGCAGTAAATACTCCTCAATATAATCCATCATAAGAGACCAAAGGGGCAGCATTTTCCCCAAAACAAAGCTCGGCTGTTGGGAAGGATTAGGAAAGAAGTCCTGGTGGAAATGGGGAGCCCAAGGAGGCGGTGGGAAGAGTGCAGTTAGGACGAGGAGCTTGCAGCGATG